CTTCTCCTCTTGGGATCTTGGACAAACACATACACATACCCAGCTTGAGTTTAAGCTACTGGGTCCGGGACTCGAACCGCAGTTGACTACACGGGAGTCCAGCGACATACCCATTATGCTAACTGCTGGTCCCCAACATGGATGAATCTCAAAAGCATTATGCTAAGAGAAAGAAACCAGACATAAGAGGCCACATATTCTTCTTTTGACCAGAGAGAGACACAGACAGAAAGAGACAGGGTAAGTGAGAAAGCAAACCACCAGATCCAGGACTTGAACTGTGGTTAGCCATGTGGGAATGTCCAGTGCCTTAACTACCATGCCACCTGCTGGCCCCCAAGAGGCCATATATTCTATGATTCCTTTTATTTGAAATGTCTGAAATAGGCAAATCCAAAGAGGCTGAAAGTAAATAAGTGGTTTCAGTGATTGCTAATGAGTATGGGTTATTTTTTTAGGGTGATGAAAACATTCTGGAATTAGAAGTGATGGTTGTGGGGCCAGCAGGTGACTAAGGCGCTGGACACTCCCACATGGCCGATGATGGTTCGAGCCCCAGACCTGGTGGCTTGTTTTCTCACTTTCTCTCTCTCTTTTGTCAAATTAAAAATAAATGAATGAATAGGGCCAGCAGGTGGTGTGGTGATTAAAGGTGCTGGACTCTCACATGGCCAACCATAGTTCAAGTCCTGGACCTGGTGGCTTCCTTTCTCACTTTCCCTCTCTCTGTCTCTGGCCAAGTTGGAAAATAATAACAACAACAACAAATCAAATTAAAATAGAATAATTATTTTTAAAAAAGAATGAATAAATAAAATTAAATAATTCTTAAAAAAATGAAGTGATGGTTGCACAATACTATGAATGTATGAAATGCCATTGAATTATATACTTAAAAAGGGTGAATTTTATGGTACTGTATATGAATTATATCTCAATGAATACAGAGTAAGAGAAAAAAAGAAGGAAAAGAAAACCTTTCAGAAAGTATAACAAAAGACAGAGGCCAGCCCAGTGGTGTAGTTGCATGACACTGGGGCCACATGGGAGCCTTAGGTTGAGATCCTGCATCAACCTGAATCCCTGTGATCCTGGCTGGCTGGGAGGTTGTGGAAAGGACTGTAGGAGAGTGAGACCCCGTCAAGGGTACCTGTCTTTCTCTGACATGTGAGTGAAAAAAATAAAACAACAACAAAAAGATAAATGCAAGGGAGAAAATGTGAGACACTTCTTAGTCTCCTCAGCCTAGGAGGTCCAAATCTGACTGGTAGGCATTCCACAGAGAAATAACAGAACAAATAGAAGCAACGAAATTACTATTTTAAATTTCCAAAGGGTATGTGTATTACTGAGAGAGAAAACTCTCTCGTGGAGGATGGTCATGCCCCAATCCCTTTCCTTCATTTCTCCATCCTATTAGGCTTTGGGACATGCACACACGTGCATCTGGTATATTTCCAAACCACCAGAGCCAGGATTCAAACTGTGGTTGGCCATGTGGGATCCAGTTCCCTGTGCATAGCACTTAACCACTGCTCTATGGGGATGTCCAAGCAAGGAAATTATTATTATTATTTTTTAAGAATTATTTTATTTAACTTTATTTCTTTATTTATTTTAATTTGACCAGAGAGGGATGGAACAAGACAAAAGAGAGGGAAAGTGAGAAAGCAAGTAGGTAGGTCTGGGACTCAAACCACAGTTGGTCATGTGGGAGTCCAGTGTCCTTACCCCTTTTGCTACCTGCCAGTCCCAGGAAATTGTTTTTAAAAATTGCACTTATGGGTCCAATAGGTGGCATAGTGGTTAAGGCAGTGGACTGCCATGTGGTCAACTGCAGTTCAAGTCCCTGACCTACTGGCTAGAAACTCACGCTAAGTGTGTTTGTGTGTGTGTCCAAAATCCTGAGAGGAGAATGAAGAGGAAGGGAATGTGGTGTGGCCATTCCCCTGGGGGTGATGTATCACTTTCCATCTCTCTGGGGAGTGCATGCACCCTAGAGCAAAAATCTCGTTTAAAAAAAAAAAAATATATATATATATACACACACACACACACACACATATAATTATAAGCCTAGTTCTAGGAAATGAAAGACTTGAGTCTCTAGATAGGAAAAGCCTATTAGCTAGTAGCATAATAAATGAAGAAAAAAAAGACCAATTCCATAGCACATTGTTGAGAAACTGCATAAGACAAGCATAGGGAAGATCCTAAAAGCTTCTAGAGATGATTAAAAATAGAAAGGACTGAGAACAGGAA